GTTTGGATATCATGTATGTGAAGATAAGATAGAAACGAACAATGTCATCTGAGTTTTTGTGTTGTATTGACTTTGAACTCTAATAGAAAATACAGAAACAGGAGGAAATACAATGAAATACAGAGAATCTGTGTATTATTTTATGTTCTGTTTTTTTCATGAATCATGTTTTTAAACCTTCTGCCTCCACTTTTTTTTTTAATTTTAAAAGCTCTGTCATGGAAAATGATGTATTTTATTAACTTAATAGGCCCATTATAGAATGTGAACATTCAAAAAAAAAGTCAATGTTAATAATTTTTATCATCTGTTTAGATTTTTCCTTGTGTTCAACAATTAAAGGTAAACAAACAAAACTATTGTTTAACTTAGGAGATTTTCTAGATGTCTTTTTAAAGTCATGTATTCAATGAAGACTGTTATTCAGCATTTATTTTTCTCAATAGAAGTCACATCATCAGCAATTTCTACAAAATACATTTATGTGAAAAGGATTTAAATAACATAAGCTTCTGGTGGAATGCTGAAATTATCCTGTCAGTCCACAGTAAATGACATTTAAGGGAATGACTAGCAGAAAATTCCATTTAATCCAATCGACTTCTATGGAGAGTCCAAGCTATTATATACATTAAGGTATGAAAAAAAGATGAAAAAGATGGCCTCTAATCTAATCTTTTGCTAGTGAGAGACATTTTCCTAACTATGAAAAAGCTATTTGTTTTCTAGGTCACCAAATATTAGTCAAAGCCTATTATACACTAAGTAATATACAAAGTTCTGGATAATATAAAATCCTGGTCCTCTCGTTCTAATAGCTAAAAGTAAATTTTCAAATAGAGCAAGAAAAGACTCACTCAACAAATATCTATTTTGTGCAAAGTACAATAGGATATTTCCTTGAAATCAAGAACTTTCTAGTTGAATGATGAATGTAGGCATAAAAGCATGTGACTGTATGTTTGGGAAGACTTCATGGAGGCAGTGATAGCTATCCTATATAAATAGGACTTCGATGGGGAGAGAAGGTAGAGAAAGTTGGCTTTCTAAGGGGGTAAGGGGAGAACACCAAGACCTAAAACTTGGTTCTTGAATGTAATATTCACATCAAGAAGTGACAAACCTTAGGATCCAAAGAAAAAATGCACAGGGACTTGAATGCTATAATAAAGTACTTATTTATGTTTTTTCACTTATTTCTTATCTAGATGATATGATGTCTTAAGCTGTACTATGTATACTTTATAAATATTACCCTTTGGTTGTGTGAGAGTCCATAGGCTGAAAAGACATGAAACATTATTTGGGTAAGTGTGGTTCAACTGAGTCATGATACAAAAAACCAATTTCAATAACCAGGAAGAGGTTAAAAGATAAGAATGAATTTCTAACCAATGAATGATTAAGACCAAAAAAAGAAACAGATGTTAATAAACAAACAAACTCTCTATAGTTTTGTTAATTGGTGTCTGTGTGGAAAGTAGAATGTGTACCATTCACAGTAGTCTATGTCTGAAGTAGTCACAGCCGCCTCCATTAGTCCTTGCTTCTTCTAGTGTGTCAGTTCTCAGTACAAAGACCTTGGTGGCCATATTGTTGTTAGATTCAGCACCATACTCATCACATATAGCGACTCTGACATGTCCTACAGTCAGTAAGATCCTGCCTAACTAAACATTGGAAATGCTTCTCTCAATAACTGTCAGGAGAGGAATAGGGCTGTAGGGGATGGGAGTGAATGTTGTTAACTACGGTAATAATATTCTACTTTTGGTGTGAAGCCTAGAAGGTTGAAAAGTAATAGAATATGTGTGACAGGAGACTATCAACTTCTCAAGCTACTAGTACACACGTGTCCAGAAATTCTCATCAGTCCCCTTTTATCCTGTTTTCAATATTTGGGTGTTCCCTTTTCTTATTGAATATTGGAGTCTGTAGAAACCTATCTGATATCCTACATAGCCTGCCACATTCATGATATTTTCAAATAACTTATTCTAGCAACATTGTAACTGTATTTGGGATTTGAATCTAAGTCTGTCTAGTTTTGGGATTCTCCACCAGTTACCTCATGTCCTGGCTTTGCCCATAGAGTCTGACTCCAAAGACATTAATATTTTTTTATTACTTCCATGGTAATTAACAAGGAATGCTTAACTCACTCATTTTGGAATACTAAATGTGAATATAACTTAAGTATTTGCATAGTTAGGGTACATCAAAAGTGCTAAAGAACACATTTGTCCCAGAGATGAAGTAAATTAAATAAATAATAGGGGTATTGTCATAAATAATTGTGGTATTGTCATATCACAAATGCAAATATTAAAGAGGAAAATAATCCTGAAGTTTGATTATAAAGCAGTATATAAAAGAGAATGTCATAAAGACATTTCAAAATTCATTTCTAAAGATAAAAGCAGAAAGATTATCATACTGAAAAACTCTTAAACTATTGAAGCACATTTTAGCAATTGTCAAGGAAGTATCCTTGGTGAGTGTAAAAAAAAAATCTCAAATACCATAGTGATCATCATACGAAGACAAGTAAATTAAATATCAACATAGCTGAGAAGGACATTCAGATTAGTCTGGTAAAAAAAAAATGTAAATTTCAATGAACTCAAACAGAAAATGAATGAAATATAGTGTTACAGATAAGTCCACATTATTTGGGTTAGCATATTTCTCTTCTTAAAGAAAAATGCATTTACAATTCAACATATAAAATTAAGGGACTATTTTGAAACTTCTAAATTCCTAAACCAAAAGTAATCCATTCCAGATAAGAATGGCTGCAAATATTGTGAGATTAGGAAAAATGCTCAAGTAGAATGGCTCCTTTTGACTCATTTTATATTTCAAATATGGAGTTTTGATATTCCTCACAACATTTAACTGAACAATAAAAATAAATGAATTCTGAGAGGCCTCAAATGAAGTTTTCCTTCACAAGGAAAGAGAAAAGGAAGGGAATTCTTCTTAGGAAACAGTGTGGACTAAAGAAAAAAGGTAAAATTTAATCAGCTTCACAGTGTCTGGCTCTTCAGTATGTCACAGTGGGTGAGAGTTCTCTCTTACAAGTTGCTTTCCATCTATTTGACTGAAACATGTCAAAAGAACAACAAAGTGTATAACTCTTAATCTCTTCCACAATTTTGTGGGTGAAGCCATCCATCCTGCTGGGAGTAGAATAAAGGTTGACTGCCAGACATGACTAGTAGCTCATCTCTCATGGGATGGTCTGAAAGAAAGTCTGACAAAAGCTCCAAGTTTTCTGAAGGGTTATATATTCTAGAGTGATCTCTCTTCATAACATGTAAGTTGAAGTCCTGGGATTCACAGATATAACCAATTCAAGAGGTAACTCTGGGAAGCTGGCTATGCATGAAGGCTTTGCTTAACTTAACTTATTCTGAAAGGAAACTGTCATTATGATTATGCTTAACTGAAGAGGAAAATGTAATATTTTTCCCTTTGAACCAGTGTCTGTTCTGGTGGATGATAATTAATATAAGAAAAAGAGATAATGTGGCATGTTAATTGCTCCCCTATCAATTGAATTTGAATTGAAATAATAATGAAATTAAACTTGTCCTGAGATAACATAGATGAAGTTCACATTCAACCCATGGGTTTCCTTGTAAAGGGCACTCAGAAAAGCACTCACTGTAAAGCAATTCTAAAGTGCAGTGATAGATAGAGGGAGTTTTGGATTACAGCTCTGCCACTTAATCAGTGTGCGCTTGTGGCCAAGTTATATAACATCTCACAGTTTCTGTTTTTTTTCTGTGCAACATATTAGTAATGACATATGATTTGCACTGTTGTTGTGAGGATAGTGGGTAATGCATTAACCTACTTAGCACAATGTTATGTAGTTAATAAACAGCAAACACATGATTAGACAAGTTCTACTATAAGGCTATAGTTCATTCAATTCCTTCATTCTTTGAACAGCTATTATATATTGGCATTAACCAGGCTTAGAGGCAAGATCCCTGTTCTGAAGACAAAGTATCAATTATAACATAGTGTAATATTTGCTAGATAGGAGAAAGTGGGCGCTATGCTGTGTATTTGTACTTTCTGTTTTCAAATAGCATATTGCTTTAGTTTCTCATAACAATTTAATAGATATTGCCCTGTAACCATAAATTTTACATTGAAGAGAACAGATATCCAGGATCATTCTATAGAAACAAATCATCCTTTTGTGAAATGTGACTATAATTAATGACTGTAGTCAGCAGCAGAATTAAACTTTGAATGGAGAGGAGGCTCAGGGTGTAAGAGCAGAGCTGATGGATGTACACATTCTAGGTTTGAATCACCTTTTGCTACTAAGTATCTGTTGCTCCAATGAGGAAATTAATTAACCTCCTTGTGCCTCAGTTCCCAAATATTTAATGCATTTACCATGGAGTTGCTGTTCTCATTAAATGAATCCATTTTTGTACTGTACTTAATGCATGGCACAGAGTAAAGGCTATATTTGTTTGTTAAGCCAATTTACTTGAAAGAAAATTATGATTTGTCAATCTTCTGAAATTCTGAAAAAAAAAACACAAAACAACAAATTTTCATTGGGGTATGTTGGTAAATAGGAAACACTTTTCCTATTGATGAATTTGTTCTTAAATGGAAAAGGGGATGTATGGGATACACAATCACAGAATTGAAAGTATTCCCGATGGGATTTGATCTGAAGAATCAGATACCCAGTGCAGTTATAAATGAATATATTTGATTAAAATATTACATGTACCATGCTTTATAAAACTTATAAAAGAAATCGCAGTCCATTCTTCAATCCTACATTTAACTAGTTAACCATTTCCAAGGGAAAGAACACTTTACCCTCTTTAAAAATTTTTCTAGTACTGAAATCAAATCTACACCAACATCTTAATATTTCAGTTACAAACATGATGTATTTAATTCCTGCTTTGTAAGTTGAATATATAACATTTTTATTTTTTTAATTTTAAAAAACTTTTTAGGGGAAAGTGTGAACGCAGTCCTCCACTACCACAAATTATGCAGTTGAGTCTCCCACATTTGGAGAAATCCCAGGGGTCAGCACATCCGGAGTGCAACGGATGAGCCTCGCCCTGGGAAACCACCTCCGTGATCATGTTATCTCCATGGCCAGATTAAGTATATATACATATATATATATATATACATACANTAGTCTACCTTAAATTAGTTCATATGGACTTGTTACAGTTTTAATGACATGCATTGAGAATTTTGGAAATAATATAACTAAAATTCGTAATAAAATTGTTTCTAACTTAGCTGCAAAGATGTAGAATATGTTGTTCACCCCAATAATTGATATCTAGAATAGCATCTTAATGATTACATGGATATTTTCTTTTAGAAATAAATAGCAAAAAAGCTGTCTTTCTATAAGATAAAATGAATTATTTATAGCATCACATCTCCCTTATATTCCAGGCTTATAAAAATCCTACAGACAAATGTAACATTCAACCATACAAATAAATATACACTCACAAATAGTAAGTTTCCTTGGATATTTTTTTGAAAAGTTGAGGGCTATAAATGGATGAACAAATAATGGATGAATATATGAATGTATAATCTAAATTTTCAACTTATTTTCTCTGTCTTGTGTTATAACTACTTTATATTATGCCTTACTTCATCTCTACAGTTCGAGGTATTTTGGTACAGCAATCATGCCTTAATCATTGTTCCCATCATGGTGCCTGAATTACATAAACTTGATTCGCAATAAATATTTATTGAAATGGCATACATAATTTTTGTTTTCCTAGAGTTCCCCCAAATCTGAAACTTTGTATATTCAGTTGTTTCTGAATATAAATATTTTTGTAATCATCTTTCCTTAGGAAATGTCCAATTATCAGCACTATTCTCAACAGTTACAACCTTATTGTAACAGAAAAATACAAGGCTTTAGTGTTAAAAGGCTAAATAATCTAAGAAATAGTCTAAGCCTATTCACAGCAAAGTTACACTTTATATGCATACAAATGATAAGTTACTTAAGTAAATCTTAGAATTTTCAGAAAACACTGCCCTGGTATGAATTTCAATTCCAAAGATACCAAGCTTGCATCCATCAACAGAAGCTCAGTGTATCTAAATCTTTGTGTGGTATGACTGAAAGGGAATTGCTTTTGAGACATTTTGCTGCAATTCAGTAGCTACCAAAAGTTTCCACTGCCCTGCAGGAAATGATGGCCTTCAGAGTTAAAATCCTCTCCACATGACTGTAACAAGAGTTCTAAAGGGTTTTTCTCACTGCGTTACTATGCACTGTGTCTCATTAGGCTACCTACGGTGCAGTAGTTACAAAAAGACTTGACAGATCTAAAATGTCACTACAATCACTTTTACCAAGTGCTGTCACCCATGTTTGGTCTGCTTTTAGTTTTGTGGAAGGAAATGTAGAAGGGCCATAAAGGTCTTTCTTAATGGGAACAAGCAATTTGGTCTCAGCTCTAAAATAAGGGCTTTTGTTAAACTCTGTGAACATCTTGACAGAAATTCACCCTGGTGAACACTGTATTTATTAAGATAAAGGTCACCTTAACTACATTCATTGATCAGCTTGATGGTATACATGAAATTTATCTATTTATCTAGTCCTTTCTTTGTATATGCATGTGTATATAAAAACACAAGTATAGTCCCTCAGCAATATACATTTTTATAATTTACTTAATCTTTCATATGATTTAATGAGATTTCAGGGGCCAAAAATATAGTACTAATTTTTCTTGCTTGAGTTGAAAATGAACCATAAGATAGGCAGACATATCAAGCAGGTAGAAGCCAGAAATAATGTTGAAATACATGCTACACATGTGACCGCAAGTCAGCACCCTAATACCAAACCCTAGAATCAAATTAGGAGAAACTGCTCTTATTTCACTTAGATTAATAGGAAAAGATGCATAAAGGTCTAGGATAAAAGATGCACATAATAGGTTGCTTAAATTCACTATAATCTTTGCCTGCAGCAGGATTAACATAAATACTTCTGTGGTTAAGGATTGAAGCAGCTAAGTTGATTAATTGGGAGGACCAAGAGTTTAGAACTAAATTTCTAATAATCATTTACTGTTCATAATATTTCTTTCTCTGAAAAGTCACTTGGGCAAACTTGTCTTAAGAATAAGAATAGTAGCTATGGCAAGGATTGGTGATTAGCACCAGCTACCAGAAGCACATCTGAGTGAACTTTCTATTTTAGTTATTTGTTGACATAACTGCCTTCTACTTTGATGTAGACACGTCGTGATTAGGGACTCCAATTTATTAATATCTTGCTTAAACAGTATATGGCATATGGGTGTAAGAAAATGTGTGAAAGTCTGAATGAAAAAATACACTTATGAAGTTTTAATATTCTTTGGGGAAGTAATTTTCTAGATATATAGTTAAAATTAATTATTTCTTCCTTAATGTTACCATAGCTTTAATAGAGTTCATCTGTAAATAAGTTACATGAGTTCCAAATCCTGGCTTTATAGAATATTGTCTGTGTAAATTTGATAATTTACCCATCTTTTACTTGCCTTTTATTTTATCAATTGTAATATGGAGATAACATTAGTTCTTACCAATATTTCATAGCTTTTAATATATAATAAAAATTAAAATAATAAAAATATGTGTATATACATATATATATATATATATATATATATATATAAATAGAGAAGTGTCACATAAAAACAGTTTATGAGTGTTGGCTAGACTGATTACTATATTTCTGTAGCATTACACATCTATTCCCAATAACTGGAATGTATGTTTATTATAAACATCTTTTCAATGTTATTTGAGTTTCTTTTTCTAGTACTTAACAGTTAAAAAGTGAAAATGAAAGGAAATAAGAAATAAAAGAGGCAAGGAAGTGAATCTAAAGACATGTCTTTAAATTTCTTCTTCTGTCTCCTTTTCTTGTTGATATCACTGTTTTCTGAAACCCACTTGCAAAAATTGTCTATGAAACATAGTATGTGCTTTACTATAAGCTGATCTTATTAGATTCATGTATATTATTTTATCTTTTCATCTTAACATGCCCTTTTGAAATTTCCTAGGCCATACAAGTGAAACTGAAGTTCCCTAGGATTTCTCCATCATGTTGTTAAGAATTTAATACTTTTTAATGAACTACTTGATGTATGATGCTTCATTTGTCTGCAGTACTTATTCATGCACCAACCCACTCCTCCTATAGTAGAGGTTTGGTGTTGGGATGGGGAGGGAAATCTCCTGATTCTTTTGTTTCCAATTAAGTCAACTTTTCCTTGCCTGCCTTTTCAAAGACTTTGATGTCTCTTATCTTATCTTCTCACTGACTTTTGAAAAATTGCAGAAATATCTTGGAAACTTAATGAGTATTTGCTAAACAAAAGAACAAATAATGAGATGAGAGCAAAAATTTGCATGATTTAACAGTGATTCCTTAAGTTAAATTCATGAATACTGCTGCTTGCACTTAAGAAGATTTGGTCATGTAAGTGTAACAGATGAGGGCTCTCTTACAAATAAATCAACTATTCAAGGGGTTCTAACCAAGCAATATCCAGAGGAGCCTGGAGGGGTAGAGAAGCATTAATTTTGCTTCAAGAGTGGAAGGATACTTTTGGTAAGCAAATACTGTAGTGTCTTCTTTATAGGTAAATGTTGATTTTATTGCCAAGAATTTATTTTCCATTTCATAATAGAAATAGAATATTTAATGGGCTGAAAAATAATTCTGCTTTTGTTCTTTTTTATCAGCATACATTGTACATAGCTGATTCTCAATCTATAGTTCAAAGGGAAAGAACTTTTAATTAAGAAAATTAGCAAAGTAGTGATGATGTTACTTCAGGGTAAAAATATGAGTTAAAAAAAGTAGTTAAACCTCAAACTCACCACATCAATTTAGGGATCTAGGAGTCAAAATTAAAAATAAAATCCTTTGTAATTATTTATGTTGAAAACTGAAGCCAATTTTGTAAATTTAACTGAATTCATGGTTAAAAGGGAATTTCTCCTATAAAAACAGAGAAAATATTTTGGAATCTGGAAAAAAAATTTTATAAGATGTATAGAAAGCACATGTAAAACAAAAAAATGATAAAAGTAGTTACTTTTTCTGGAATAATTTCCTCAAATGCATAGTGGGAAAAAATCTAAAATTACAAATCAGAAGAGAAAATGTAATAGGTCAAAAAAACCATATTTGTGTTATTTAGCTTGCCTATGAATCATTAATAAAGTCATATTCCTCTAGTGAGAAGACACAATGGTTCTCTTTTATGTAGATAAAATTTATTTTTTAAATAGACTTAAGTTGTAAAATACCTTTCAAAGTAGAGGCTGAGAAAATATTACTTGTTATCTTTTTTTTATCACTATATTGTCAATTCAATTTATGGTCAAGAAAGTGATTTCTTGACTGCTTTGAAAAAAAGATGGTGGAGTAAGAAGGCAAGGCAGAAACCTCCTCCCACACACACACCAGGAAAGCAACTACGGCAAATACAACTCACCCTGAAAATGACCTGAAGACTGCAGAACAGCCCACCCACACCTGGGGAAGAAGAGAAGACCACACAGAAAAGGGTAAAGTGACAGAACCATGACTCAGCCCCTCTGCCATCCCAGTCCACAGGCCGGAGGAAGAGGAATGGAATGGGGAGAAGATAGGTGCTCAGAAACTATGCACAACTGGCCCTGGAGATCTCCTCTGGGAACACAAGTCCACATTGCACTGGGTTCTGGCAATTAGTGGGCTGGACATCAGGGACTGTTGGAACACTCTGTGAAACAGACTCTGGGTGCATGTGGAGGAAAGGCACACTCTGTTGGACCCACTGAGACCCAACACAGGTGGCAGTTTAAAACTTTAACCAGAAGCAACAGGGGTGCCAGAGGGGTTAGAATTGGAAGGAACTCTCTCGGTAGGAGAAAGGGTAGGTGGATGATACCTTCCTAGCTCTTCCTCAGCCCAACAGATAGGCTCTTTAGGGCACTCCAGACTGTCCATCTCCTTGCTGATGACGCAACCCTGAGGCACTTCCCTGTGCACTACTGACTCACTAGCCCACTCAGATCAGCATCATCACACTTGCTGCTTGGCAGGCACAGGGAGGCTCTCCC